AGCAGAAGATTCTCTCCATCCTTCTTCTCAAAGACCTTAACGCTTACCATGAGCGGCTTAGGTCGGAGGATGTCATCTGTCACCGACGGTGGCGTCATGAACGCAATTGCTGCAGTGATCTTCTGCTGCTGCAGGTGCTCTAGCAGCGCGTTTTCGTTCCTCGGAAATGCCTCAAGACGCGCACCGATTGCCTCGGGGCCTTGTGTTACAAGGTGTTGCACGCCCTCAGGGCCAAACAAGGACATCAGCTTGATAAGCCCGTCTTATGTGCCCTGGGGCAAAGAGGAAAATTCCTCCATCCTCACAGAGGATCAGTCGTAACGACTCAGGTGTAGATTGATTACAAGTGCTACCAAGTGCAACGGGGCTGCCGTAAGTTAGCGCTTGAGGAAGCGTAATTTAGGTCACCGACCTTTCGTTCTTTACAAGAACCAAGTACGAGTTAGCGAATCGCAATCCGCTTACTCCAAGAGTAATTACTGCCTTCCCAGGGCTAATGGACCCTTCCGTTTAAAATTCAAAACCAATTTTCATTTATTTTTATTTGCGGCTAAACCGCCTAATTTTAAAGTAATAGATTTTTCTAAATTAATATATCAAAATCTAAATGCATGGCATAACTACTGGCTACCTAGCCACATACCGTATTCTTGTTTGGGTGCAGTACAACCATGCACATCTTGTGTGATACACACCCCTGTTACCAGGGTACGTATAGCCCCGTTACAGGAACCAAGTTGGCTCTACTGTATGACGGGAACGTATATATAAAATTGCTGCCTAGACTAATATGAAGTACATCTGGTTACTATTCCTCATAACAAAACTATAACGGGTAATCTTGTAAACTAGATTTGTACACATTTGATATATTTTGTATTCAATGCTATCTGTTGCAATTTGTACGTTTCACTTTGGTGAACTAGTGAATATTCACATGTACCTAATGTCGGTTTCTATGAAGATGATGGTACACTGCAAAGGAAAGGTCCGTGGTACAGGCCGACTGCTAGCCGCACGTTTGAAAATAGTGGCAGTCATTTCAGTGACGATAGCAGACTATAAAGGTCAGTATATGTCGAAATAGCAAAGCTTACTTGCATAGACTCTATATATTCAAAGTATCATCATCTTCACATTTAACGATATATCGGTACTAATGAATATTCGTAACTGAGTGCTATGTAAATTTCATGCAATTCATACAGTTAACTGTACGTAATGTATCTTAAAAGCACGGCATGCCCCATTACATTTAATTGCCTCCGAATGGCGTGCTATTTTACTAAGCATTCAGTGATCTTGACTAGAAAAAAAGCTAGTTCGTCCAAAGAGAGTTATACTAGCATGTCGCCTTACGCTCCTTTACTATCGTATTCATCGAAATGGTCATGAAATTACCCCTGATTTGTATTCTCTTTCTATTTTATTGAGTTGCTCGTTGGATATTGTTTGAGAGCTGACTTTGTTATGGTTTTCAACCAGATTGAATCTAAGGCGACAATGACGTTGCAGTATTTCATAGCACATGCATGTCTTACTGATGTTATTTAAACTGTGTCGACCATCATTATCACATACCTACCAATCAATTCATTTTTGGTGATATCGAAACGTTTGCAAGACGGACCAATTGTTTTTATTGAACGGTATAGAGAAATTAACCGGAGTAGATTAAAAGTTATGGGTTGTTGACCATCCACTGATGTTACATTTATGCACTTTTTTTGACTCACTTCAAGAGTGATGCATACGTGGCAACATCAACTAAAATGAGCTTTAAGCATAGCAGGTGCACATTGGCTGTGATAGTACGAGATTTTCTATCATTTATAAATGTGCAAATTGTTCACAGC